CCACGCCATTTGAGGGGAAAACTCTTTGTTTTCCCCTCAAATGGCGTGGCCCCGCCCAGCGTGTGACGTCACTTCCGGTGACGCTCCGGCGGCGCGCGCGCGAGAACTGATCTCTGTAGTCTGGAGATAAGCTGTAATTTCACGGGGTCTCCAGGTCCCCCCTGGATAGGGTTTCCAAGTGGTACTCACCTCCTCCACGGGGGACTCCCGTGCGGCTCCCGGGGCGCGCGCACGCCGCATGCACGTCACTAGGAAGTGACGTTATGACGCCGGGCACGCTGGGGGCGGGGCCACAACCATCCAAGGGGAAACCATAGTTTCCCCTTGGATGGTCATGGCCCCGCCCCCAGCGCGCCCGGCGTCATAACGTCACTTCCTAGTGACGTGCAGGCCGGGGATGGGGTTCCCCCCGGGGCCCGATTCCGCGGCAGCGGAAATCGGGCCTCCAAAGTTCCCCGCCCCCTGGGGCGACTTGGCAGCCCTACCCCTGAAGGCTGGCATCCCTATGTTTTATGCACCATTTGGGCTTATCAGGATAACCCCTATATGCCATCCAAACTCCTTTATTAAATCAGATATTGTTCTGAACAGTGGTTTGTGGGATTTTTTGGCAGAGGGCTCCTCCCTTTTTAGTGCTTGTTTCAAGCCTTTTTAAAAACATGTCAGATTTTTAAAGAAAAGATACGCAACTTAGACCTGGGTGGTCCATTTTGCATGAATTTTCTTTTTAAATCTGTGCTGGGGGTGGGATAGGCATGGCTACTGCATATATATGTGTGTGGCGTGAAAAAAGTTGACAGAGGGAACTTTCCAGATCATCCAGCAAAACTAATGGGCAGTTGATTCAGGACTGTATTTCTTCACACAATGCATAATTTGTATATTGGCTTGGCTTGTTGTATTGATTTATTTTTATTGGTATGACTGGTTTTTATTGACTTCATTTTATGGTCTTGCTTGGTTTTGTTTTGTTCTTTCAGTTGGCTTTTATTCCCCTGTGAGTTAGGGTTGCCAAGTCTAATTACCTTGGCAGCGGGGGAGCCTCGCCGGGCTCTGGGAGCTCTCCGGCGATGTGTGTGCGTGCGCGGAAATCGGGCCTCCAAAGCGGGGGTTTACCCGCCTCCCACCCCCACTTGGCAGCCCTACTGTGAGTAGGGCTGGCAGATGTCCTCTTTTTAGAGGACATCTCCTCTTTTGGGCTCTTTTTTAAAAATCTGATGAAAATGTCCCTTTTTGGGTTGGGAGGCTAAGCCTTTTTTGCTCAATAGTCCTCCAGTGAAGGCAAACTTCAGCTTAAATAGTAGGAGTATGAGATTTGTCATAGTGATCAGCAGGGGTCATTTCCTGCAGAAGTGCACAGGAGCGGAGCTTTGGCAGTAAAGAGCCCAGGGGGCAGGCACATTCAACAAGCCCCACCCCCTGCTCCCAGGAGCCCTCAGTCAGAGCAAGAAGCAGCCAGGTAAGTTGCAGAGTTCCCCCCGGCCCCCTGGTCCAAAACAGTCCAGTGGCACCTTTAAGACCAAGTTTTATTCAGGTATAAGCTTTCCCTCCTCTGTGAGGACAGATCTGCACGTTCCCCCCCCCCAATAGCTAGCAGTAATCCAAAACAGTCCAGTGGAGCCTGAGTGGTGGGTGTTGCCTTCGGACACACTTCTGGTGATGTCAGGGGGGGGGGCATATGCAAATAAGTTATGCTAATGAGTTATGCTAATGAGCTCCTGCACCTCTTTTTCTATGAAATGACTCCTGGTGACTGATCAGTTGTCTGAAGAAGTCCTTTGGGAAATATGTCCTCTTTTTTGCTTTTCAAAACATGGTAACCCTACTTGTGAGCTGCCTTGGGTGACCCTGATGAAGGCAGAAAAGAGGGGTATAAATTTTTGTAAATAAATAAATAAAACCGTGGTAAGATCAGTCTGGCAGGATTTATTCTTGACAAATATGTGTTGGCCTTGTGGTAATCACTTCATTGTTTTCAAGACGTTTACAGATTGAACACTTTATAATTTCAGGGGTTGTTTCATAGAAAAAGAGCTAGGGGAACTCATTAGCATAAATCATTAGCATATGCCACACCCCCTGACATCACCGGAAGTGTGTCATAAGGCCACACCCCCTGACATCACCGGAAGTGTGTCATAAGGCCACACACCCCGCCCCCAACGGTCCCGGCCGCCACCACCGGCCTTGCAGCTCCACTGCCGAGCCCCATGAGGGGCCCGGCGGTGGACCTGCAAGGCCGGCGGGAGTGCAAGGAAGCCCCACGAAGGCCCTCCCTGGCCCCAGGCAGGCAGGGATGGGGAGAGGCAGTGAGGAAGCAACTTACCCTCCCTCTTCTCCTGCCTCCTCCTGGCTAAATGAGGGCCGGAAGCGGGGCGGCCGGAAGCAGGGGGCGGGGCTTCGTCATGTGCCCCGCCCCCCGTACCTCACCCAGGGGAACTGTGATCCTCCGCGATCCCCCCCCCCGAAATGACCTCTGATTTATTTTATTTATATCCCGTCCTCCCCGCAAGCGGGCTCATGGTGGGCCACAACGTGTCAGTAAGCACACAGAATATATAGAATCAAAACATTAAACATCTCACTTGCTCTGCAGGATTTTTTCCAATAACAATAGAAGTTCTAAGAGTATACCAGCAAGCAGGGCTTTTCTTTTCTTTTCTTTGGGTTTTTTTTAAAGAGGGAACTCTCAAGAGGGAAATGAAGTTTTCAGTCTGTATACTGAAAACTCACGAACTTTTAAACATTTTTAAAAGAATGCTGTCGGTTCCAGCGCATTCCCCCAGGGAAAAAAGCCCTGCCAGCAAGTTGCTTTCGTACTCTAGGTTCATCCAGCTCAGAAGACTGATATAAGGTACCCAGGGATTCCGAGACCAACTGCTGATCAGTCTTCAACATAAATACTCACCATCACCATTCATGCCACTTTTGCTAGGTTGCTCACCTTTGGGGAGAAGGTGGAGGAAGAAGAGGTGTTGAGAAATTTCATCACCATCCTATCAGTGAGGATTGCACCTATAATTTCCTCCTTCTTCCATTGAACAGAGCCATTTTTGGTTGTTTGAGCATCCTTTGCCATCCTCAGTTTATTTTGAACTTTCCTAACACTGCCCCTGTAAGTTGGGGCTATACGTAAAGCTCTTCCTGCAATATAGGCTGTTTCCAGAAGTGTATTTGATGCAGCGGTCTTGCTGAACTGAGGCAGGCCTAGCATGGTCAATGCCTGGATGGGGGGGGGGGCATCTGGGAGCTTTACGTAAGTTGGGGACACGTCTAGTGATCCGAGCCATTTTCTATACTTGTCATTTTTGATGATCAGCTCATCACTATGCCTTCATTTATTTATTTATTTATCTATTTATCATTACACTTTTTATGCAGCTGCATTGGCATTTTAAATGTCTCGTTTCTTTTTAATTGACTTGGTTTGGTATTATGCCTTAAGGAACTAGGCTTGCCAGGTCTGGGTTGGAAAATACCTGGAGACTTTGGAGGTGGATCCGGGAGAGGGCGGGGTTTGGGGAGGGGAGGGGCCTCAGCATGGTACAGTGCCACAGCGTCCACCCTTCAAGGCAGCCGTTTTCTCCAGGGGTGCTGATCTCTGTCAGCTGGAGATCCGTTGTGAAAGCGGGAGATCTCCAGGCCCCACCTGGAGGCTGGGACCCTATAAGGAACTCCTCTTTTATGAACTGGCACCCATCTTGGACTACTTTCTCTGAATATCTAGTAATAGAATTCTGTCCAGCATTTCTCTACATTTATGAGAACCAGCTTTCCTGCAATTCAAGGCACTTGTTTTTCTAAACTCACCTCTGTAGTTTTCCATAAGACCAAGAACTCCAGCATTAACGTGACCACCCTGCCCCCTAGGTTCCACTGTTTTCACGATGTCAGCTAAGTATTTCCTACTTGTTAGGATCAGGCCAAGTTTAGCAAAGCAATAAGGAAAGGCTTGTTTTAGCAATATATTTTTGGACATGAGAGTACATACGAGTTCACAGAAAAAGAGAGTTTTATACCCAATTTGTCCGGAGTCCTTGTGCATAGGACAGGTTATATGTCTTAATAAATGAAATGTAAAACTTCTTTCCCATCGCCCATTCAAGTGATCCCTTAAGGTAGACTTTGACTTCCTGAAATTGTTGGGTTCCTGGGTTGTTCTTCCTGCAATAGGCTGTTTCCAGAAGTGTATTTGATGCAGCAGTCTTGGTCAATGCCTGGATGGGGGGGGGGGCATCTGGGAGCTTTACGTATATACATAAATGTGATGAATAAATGTATGAAATTGCTTATTTCTGTTGATTATCTGCAGTTGCAAAACAAAGGTTGTTTATCACCACAACTGAAATAAGAGAAGAAACGCGGGGGAAATAGCCATTCACTGATAGGCTTTTTTCCCTTTTCATTCCCTGCTTTAGGAAAATTCGCAAGCTGCTTTCCTCCTATGAAACTAAGAGAGCTGCAAGAAGCCCTTATAAGCCCATCATCCTCCAGCCTCTACAGAGCGTGCATCTGCCACAGCCAGTGAATGACGAACCAATAATTATTGAGGATTAAAATGGGAGAGGTCTTTAAAACACTGGAGAGCTTTCCTCAAACTCCACATGCCATTTTGTGACTTCACAGCTGAATCTACTGCTGACAGAGAGAACTGACGTATATATCTTTTACAGCACAGTCCAGACAGACGCCTCTAAGCCCATTGAATTCAATGAATCTAGGAAGGTTGTAACTCTGTTTAGGATTGTACTGTTAAGAGTCTGAAAAGGAAGCCAGCCCCTCTCTGAGTCTTGACAACCACAGACGGCACATGAATGTGCTCACTCCTTTTTAACAAATCTCTTGGTAACAGATCCCCCCCTTTCCTTGTAGTTTATTCTGTTCCTTTTGTAAACAAGTAGGAAGAAAAGTAAATTTAATTTATTGAGGAGAGAATGGGGGATAGTAATCTTACCATATTCTGTTTTATCTTTCGACAAAGGAAATAACCAGATGACTTTGTTTTGTGACCAAATTTTCATTGCCAAGATGTTTTATGAGACTGTTGTAAATTTTTTTTTAATTTTGACAGTACCATTTTAAAACTCCATTTATAATTTCTTTGTAGATAAAATGCCAATGTGTATCTGTTATATTTGGAAATAGAAGGTCTAGAAACCAGTAACAAGTTCAATGTGCTTTATGCTACAGGTCCTTTGGAGGGGTTTTGATACTTCAGCCAATTCCATCAGTACCATGGATCCTGGACCACGTGGGCAAGGTGATCACTGCGCTGGCATTGGCGGCCAGGCTTTTCAAACTGGGCTGTTCTATTCTGGATTATTCCCATGGGAAATTGGCATGTTGGATTGCTGTCATCCAGCAAGCCTCCACTGCAGTGTGGCATGGTTCAGTAGTCATGCTTTGTATACAGAAGGTCCCAGGTTTAATCCTTGACATGAAGTCATGCTTTGTATACCATCTCCCGGTTAAAAGGAGCAAGTTGCAATCTCTCCCTGAGGCCCTTAAAAGGATCGCCGGTTAAAAGGAGCAAGTTGCGATCTCTCCCTGAGGCCCTTAAAAGGATCGAATTGTGATCTCTACCCAAAACCTTGGAGATCCACCGCTGGTCGGACTAGATGATATTGACCTTGATAGCGTCATGTGTCCAGGGCATTGTGGTGCTGTAGGAACTGCTCCATAGTTTTAGGCATGGTAGGAACGCTCAAACGCCTGACAGTTCAGCTCACTTCCTGGTCACCAGTGGTAATCAGACAGCCAATTAATTGATGGGCTGTTCAGCTATTTGTTCATTTATATTCACAGCCATCAGCTGGGAGTCACCTCGGAGTCATTATAGCCCTCAGCTGAGAGTCAGCGTTTGATCTCCTGGTAGGGAAATTTTGGTTTGTACCCAGCGACACTGGGGGGGAGGCATCAAGATCCGACTCCCAGCTGATCCATCTTCTTTGTAATCTCTGTGCGGTCCCATAAATGGGTCCTGCACCAGCACAAAAAGCAACTCCAGAATGTTTTAGAAGTGCTCCAGCCAATTCATTAGCACTCAGATCTCCTCTTTGTTCTGGCACAGCTGTTCTTGAAAAAGAGCAGTTTCTGTCAGAGCTCTCTCAGCCCCACCTACCTCACAGGGTGTCTGTTGTGGGGAGGGGAAGGGAAAGGAGTTTGTAAGCTGCTCTGAGACTCCTTTGGGTAGGGAAGGGTGGGGTGTAAACCCAATCTCTTCGCTTCTTCTTTTTCTTCTTTGAGGGAAGACAGTGTCCCTCTTTTGGCCTTCAACCAACACACCTGTATTTCAATAATATCTCCACTTTGGTGAAGCTGGACATTCCTGCCATACGTAGAAACTTCTGTGCCTCAAAACATCTAATACCAGGCAGCGTCTAAGGATGGTATTTGAGGGAGGCTAAGACAGAATGTAGTAGGTTCAGTTTAGTTTTATTCTTCTGCTGCTTCCATTTTTTTCATATTATGGAAGTTTCAGTCATTTTGTTTACAGTGTATTCAGTTTACCTCTCCATTGTGTCTGGATTGCCTTGAGTCCCCAGGCTTTGAGCCTGTGGGCACCTTTGCAATTTTGACATTGTGTGGTGCGCGCAGCCACAAAATGGCTGCCGCAGGAGGCAAAGTCAGCCACAAAATGGTTGCCACAACTTATCTTCAGCCACACAGTGGAGATCTTGTATTATGGTGGCCGCTGCTGCCAAACCAATGTTTTTAAAAATCTGCACAGCCAATCAAATCTCCAGTGGTCAGTCAGAGGCCTTGCTGGGCAGAAGCCCCACCTGACTCCATCCACTTTATAAAACCATTTGACGGACACCATGAAAAGGCGTTGGCGGTGCCCATTGACACCACATCGAAGACTTCTGGCCTTGAGTATGCTAGTTATGGCTTTTGCTTTTATTTTATCATTTAGATTTTATTCTTTTTATTCAGTCGTCGTGCTCAGTGAACCACTTAAGTTGTTAAGCTACTGGGTTTCTGTGTTCCTTACTGGTTCAGTGTTTTCCCACTACAGCCTATCTATTTATTCATTTATAGTCCACCTTTCTCACAAGGGACTCAATAGGACTTTCTTTCAAAGCGTAACTTGCCCCGACCTGGATGGCCCAAGCTAGCCCAATCTTGTCAGATCTCGGAAGCTAAGCAGGGTTGTCCCATTTGGATTAGGGTTGCCAAATCTTATTTACTCACCGGCGGAGGAGCGTTTTCTTGGTCCGGGAGTTGGCTGTGGGTGTGCGCGCGCAAAGCGCGCGTGCCGCCAGAACATCACCGGAAGTGACGCAGGACGTAGGGCACAGGGGCGGGCAGGACGTAGGGCACGGGGATGATCTGGGCCACGGCCCCAACGTGCCCTACGTCCTGCGTCACCTCTGGTGACGCAGCTTCGGGGGGCGGAGTTCCCCCCGGGGCCCGATTCCGCCGCGGGGGGAAATCGGGCCTCCAAAGCAGGGGGAAATCCGCCCCCCGGGGGGACTTGGCAGCCCTAGATGGAGCTGATGTCAGTTACTGGATCTTATTAGCATTACTTATTTATTATTTATAGGCTTTTATTCTCCGCCGCCGGCAGATTGGGCACAAGGGGGAACTCCACCCCGATGTGCACGTCGCCTGGAAGTGACACGGGCACTCTGGGCACAGGGGCACGGTCATCTGAGGGAAAACTCTATGGTTTTCCCTCGGATTGTCGTGGCCCCGCCCCCAGCGTGCCCGGCGTACCCGTGTCACTTCCGGGCGACGTGGATGCGGCGCTCCAGCCGCCAGCCAGGAGTCCCCTGCTGCGGCTGAATGCACACTTGGCAACCCTACAGGGGCACCAAAAGTCAGTGGTGACTGGACGGCAAAGAAACCAGCAAAAAAATTGATATGACTGGCCATATCCTTTTAAACTTCACCAAACTGCCTTTTAAACTTCACCCAAATGTTGCAGAAACTTTAAACAGAAACAGTAGCATATATTAAACTGGTATCTGTTTAGGTCAGGGGTGTCGAACTCATTTGTTAAGAGGGCCGGATCTGACACAAATGAGACGTTGTCGGGCTGGGCCATGTGTATCATAAAATGTAATGCCAGCTAACAGAGATATAAATGTTATAAAGGACACAAACACAAAGGGTTTTTTTAAACTTAAAAACATGCGTAAAACATTAGCACTCTTGCAATATTTTGTTTATTTAACAGTATCTGATAACGGACACCACTTGCTCTGGATTATTGCATTAAAATGTTTGTTCAGGTGTGTATCTGTAAGCTGCAAACCTACAATGACGTAGCAGCAGCAGAACTGGAAGAAGCAGCAGAAGACAGCCAGTTCCACTGCGGGCCTGATAGAAGCCCTCCGGGGGCCTCATCTGGCCCCCGGGCCTCATGTTTGACACCCCTTGTTTAGGTTCTTTTTTTCACTGGTGGCTTTCTGCAGACACAAAACTGAAGCGAAAATCTCCTAGGCACAGAAAGCCTAGCTTAAAAAGAGCAGAACTATCTCCCTTCCTCCAAGGAGTTAATTTTGAAGGCACAACAGCCAACAAGCGTAGTGCTTCAGAGTCCCAGCATTCTTAACATCCAGAAAACCAAAAGCTTTATAATTTTTTCCCCTCCTTTACTCATGTTTGCCTTGGCTTTCATGCTAATGGCAAAGAAACAGTTTCTTCCAGAAGCCTCAGAATTTTATGTATTTGCAAATACAACGAATGGGTTTTTTTTAAAAAAAAAACTCAGATATGCAGAAATGCTAACTCAAGCAGAGAAACTACTACAGATGTAAAGCAGACTTTGGATTTTTTTGGGGGGGTTGTACTTTAGCCACTTGGAACTTGGCTGAAGAGACTTCTGGATCATATGGTTGACTAGAGAATTGCAAATTAATAACTCTTTATAGCTATTTTCCATTTTTACCAAAGTTTGGAATATATGAAGGTTAATCAAACACAAAATGTTGCTGTTCATCCCTTTCTTCAAATACCTGCTCTTTCAGGATGAATGTAAACAGAAATCCTGGAGTACAGAAGACTGTGCAGCCTGAAAGAACTGTTCCTTGGTGATCCATACTGTGTAGCTCTTATTTATTAGGGATTCCATGAGAAGCATATCTCTTTTGTTTCACCTGTGCATCACAGTGAAGTGAAAAAAAGTTACACAATTTTGAAGTTTGGTTTTTTTGGCGCCCACATCCTGGACACAAACTGCCTTGCCATTAAACAGATATTGCCCAAAGGGCTAATTTTTAATCCTCAGTGACAGCAAGACCCACAACTCAGAGGCTCCCCACAAGAGACAATGTCACCCAGAACCCTAATCATGTTTTTTCACCATGCACTTGGTTTGCCTCAGGGAAGTCTGAGGCAAATAAGATTTCTTCTAGAGGCCTCAGAATTTAATGACAGGTAAGTATATTTAACTCTGAGGATTCTGGAAGGAATACTTTTTTATTTCAGAGTAAGCAGGAAATCTAAAGGAGGCCTTATTTGTATTGGGACTCACTGATGCCTCCCTTTTGTCTACAGAGTTTCTCTAGGGCCAGCTATGCTTGCACAGAACTATGAACATAGAATTCCTATTAGGAAATACATACATTGGGCATTTTATGTACATAGAGCTTAAATCTTGTAGCCCAAGTGCCAAACACTGAGAGCCCACGGCAGATAGAACATTTGTAAGGCTCAATGACAAGGTAAGCCCCAGGAACAGAAGCCATACTGTCTGGGACCTTGCCAAATCAACATCCAGAGAAGCTAATGCATGTAAGGTAAAGGTAAAGGTTCCCTTGCTCGAAAGCCAGTCGAGTCCGACTCTAGGGTTGCGGTGCTCATCTCCGTTTCAAAGCCGAAGAGCCAGCGCTGTCCGAAGACGTTTCCGTGGTCATGTGGCCGGCATGACTAAACACCAAGGCGCACGGAACGCTGTTACCTTCCCACCGAAGTGGTCCCTATTTATCTCCTTGCAATTTCTTGCTTTTGAACTGCTAGGTTGGCAGGAGCTGGAACTAGAGATGGGAGCTCACTCCATCATGTGG